TCTTGATATAAAAATTAAAAAAAAAAAAAATGACCAGGTGTGGCAGCGCATGCCTGTAATCCCAGCACTTGGGAGGCTGAGGCAGGAGGATTGTTGCGAGTTCGAGACCAGCGTGGGCTACAAAGTGAGCTCAAGGCCAGCCTGAACTGCATAGCAAGACCCTGTCTCAAAAAGACCAAAAAAAAAAAAAAATTATATATATATATACGTAGAGACATAGGCAAGGACTTGCTGAACAAAACCCCAATGGCACAAAAAATGATACTGAGACTGAATAAAGGGATCATATCAAATTTTAAAAAGCTTCCGTACAGTAAAAAAACAACCAGCAAAATGAAGAAACTATCTATGGAATGGAAAAAAATTTTGCCAGCTATTCCACAGACAGAGAACATCAAGAACACACAAAGAACAATATCAAGAACATATAAAGAATTTTAAACATCAAGAACATATAAAGAACAACCTACAGAATGGGGAAAAACTTTTGCCAGCTACTCCATGGACAGAGGACTAACATAAAGAATATATGAAGAACTTTAAAAGATAAGACCCAATCAACCAAGAGGCAACCAAAATAAATAGAAGTACAAATGTCCAGTAAATACATGAAAAAAATGCTCATTATTGCTGACCATCAGAGAAATGCAAATTAAAACTAGGCCAAGACGCCGGGTGTGGCAGCGCACGCCTGTAATCCCAGCACTCAGGAAGCTGAGGCAGGAGGATCATTGCAAGTTCGAGACCAGCCTGGGCTACAAAGTGAGCTCAAGGCCAGCCTGAACTGCGTATAGAGACCCTGTCTCAAAAAGACAAAAAATAAATAAATAAATAAAACTAGGCCAAGACACCACTGTACCCCAGAAAGAATGGCCATCATCCAAAAATCTAACAATAACAAATGCTGGTGAGGATGTAGGGAAAAAGGAACTCTACTACATTGTTGATGTGAATGTAAACGAGTACAACAACTGCTAAAATTAGTATGGAGATTCATCAAAAAACTAAAGTAGAAATTCCCACTTAGCTGTCCCCTCTAGGGTATCTTCCCAAAACAGTTAAAATTACCATAGTACTGGGATACAAGCACACTCATGTTTATAGCAGAATAATCTATAATAGCTACATCTTGAAAATAGTGTGTTTGTTCATCAACGGACAAATGGATAAAGATAATGTGCTATTTGTACACAATGGAGTACTACTCTACCACTAAAAAGTGGCTTTGCAGGTAAATGGATACAACCTGAGAACACAATGTTAAGTGAAATAAGTCAGACACACAAGCTCAATACACAAAATCGCATACATCCCATGGTTTTCCTTATATGAGAAATACCATACATAGTTCATGCACGCACACACACACACACACACACACACATAAAAAACAAAATAGAAGAGATAAACAGCAAATAGGGAAAAGTTCAAATACTTCCCCAAATTAAATACTCCATTTTAAAAATATTCCAATATATAATTTGTTTCATTTATACTAATAGTTTATCTTAGTTTGTTGAAAAGGAAGTTTGTGTTTTTATCTGTTTATTTCTTGTTTGCAAGAATCTTTTCGGTTTATGTCTTATACTTTGAAGATAATGATACAGGGAATAACTATTGCTATTCTCTTATTATTTGGCTATGAAAATTTGTTTTATGTTTTCACAGAATGAAAATATTTAAAAAAAGAAAAAGATGAAAACCCTACATTGCCCAGGCTGGGCTTGAACTTGTGATCCTCCTGTTTCAGGCTTCCAGAATGCTGCAATTATAGGCATATGCCACTACTCCCAGCTTTAGCTGTAACATTAGGAATTCCTTTGCCTATCCTGTTTTATCCATAACTCCCTATTTCATCTCTCCCTTACATTATTTTGAAGTATATTCCAGATGTCAGGTCATTTCACTCATAAATATTTCAATATGTCAAGTGAACTTGAAAAACTTCCACCTCTAAGATTCTGTTTCTATAGGTCCAAAACACACGAAAACCAAAAAGTCCATTAACATTCATAAAGTGAATTACATTCACCATTTACTCAACTAGTTGTAGATAAATTAAGGCAGTGAGTACTTTAATAGTTTCATTGTCTAGTTTCATGGTGACACCTAGTGGATAAAAATGAGAACAGACATGGTAAGATTAAAAGTATCTAATGTCATGGAGTTCTATAGACAAAAGTTCCCAGACCCAAAACAGCTAAATAACTGAACATTCTTCAGTATTTCATCTTCTTTCAAGGAAAAAAACCCTGAAAAACAGAATATAACATGTAAGGCATTTTGCGGTGTGTGTGTGATAGGTGGTACCAGGGGTAAAACCAAGGGCTTTCACACTTTAGCTAGATCCCAGCATTTTTTCCCCATTTTTGAGACACAGTCTCATTAAGTTGCTAAATTGCCCAGAGTGGGTCAAACTTGCAATCCTCCTGCCTCACTTTCCAGAGTGCTGGTATTACAGGCCTGCACTGCCACGCCCAGCTCATTTAATTATTTAATCTCCTACCTACTTAATCTTATTTTTTGTTCTCTTTTATAAACTACCAATTAGAAAGTTTCTACCACTTATTTCCCAAATATACAAAGCTCACTGCAGATTCTAGCTTTTTAATTGTTCGTCTTATCTCAAAAATTCTCTTGAATTTATTGATTTAATTCAGCTTCCCAATTCAAACTATACCATCCAATTTCATGCACATTCATGTTTATACACTCTTCTATGAAATCTTCCCTACAATTTCCTCTGAACTTAAAAATTTCTGAACTCCTATGGCACGATTTTATTGCCAAATATAAGAAATGTATTTATATTATTATCTAATAGACAGGGCTTACAGTATTAGCTTTGTATATCTACATGGACATATAAACCCATGGAAGGTTTTTACCAGTATCCCTACAATGCTTAACAAATACTATGCATTCAAATACTGCTGACTTATGTATTCTGTGCATTTATTAGGCAGATGAAGTCAAATCCTTGCTACAGTGGGATTTAGAGCTGTAAGTACCACAAGGCAAGGACTGGGTCTATCTTAGTGACTGTTCTTCTCTTTGCATGTTATGTAGTGCCTGGTCAGATAAATATTTGCTGAACAAATTATCTATAATCTTAAAAAGAAAACAAAAAATTTTATAAAATTATTACTACACAAGAGATGAAGGGAAGGAGGATGGAGGGGGCAGGGGAAGGGGACATAAAAAATATTAAGATATGTACCTGTACCAATTTTCCATAATGAACGTAATCATTATTTGCTATAAACCGATACTAATTTAAAAAGACTTATTAAAATAAGTTTTAAAATTATTAGTATAAACCAAACAAGGAGGACAAAAAGTCAGTTTGGGACAAAGGAAATTCCTTTTAAAAATTCAAAATGATAACATGTGCTTTTCAAGCTTTCCTATTTATACTCAAAACTGAACTGATTATTAGCAAGCACATTAACTCAGCCAGCAATAGAGCTTTTACTTTCATACTTTTACTTTCACTATTTTCCATATTTTCCTCTGCTCCTCTCACTATCCCTAAGAGTTTTTGTTTTGGTTTGATTTGGTTTTGGTTTTTGAGACAGAGAATTTATACTCCTCTTGCTTCAGCTTCCCAAGTGCTGCTAAAAGTTTTTAAATAAAATATAGAACAAGATGAAGGAGAAATGAAGAACACATCAACTGGACAAAAGCTCAAATATAGGAAGAAAGAGCTGATTAGATGGAATTAAGTGATTTGACTGTGTCTACTCAGAGTTTAATTTTAAAATATCAGACACATAAGTCACCAAATAAAAGTTAAATTTTTCCAAAAAGTCTGGATATTCTATGTACTTATTAAACTATTACTTGATCTACAACTACAGATCCATTTACCATGATAATCAGGTTAAAACAGAAAAATAAGAAAGGCCCTGGCATGGTGGCACACACCTGTAATCCCACCACTTGGGAGGCTGAGGCAGGAGGATCGCCGTGAGTTCAAGGCCAGTCTGGGCTATATAGTGAGCTCCAGCCACCCTGAACTACACAGCAAGACCCTCTCTCAAAAAAAAAAAAAAAAAAAAAAGAAAGAAAACAAAACAAAAAAAAAAATCAAAGATAATAAATGAAATACCCCTTCATTATACTAAATCTTTTTGTAACAAAAGAATTGTTTCTAAAGCTGGGCATGGTGGCACATGCCTATAATCCCAGCACTCAGGAGGCTGAGGCAAGAGGTTCGTTGCGAGTTTGAGACCAGCCTACAAAGTGAGCTGAAGGCCAGCCTGAACTGCATAGGGAGACCCTATCGCAAAAAAGATTAAAAAAAAAATCATTTCTACCTGTATGCTACAAAGTGATAGCTATTTGCTCAGAACACAATTTCAGAAAAATTGGGAAAATCTATGATCTTTGACCTAAGCCTTTTTCTAATAAATTTAGAATTGTAATACTTTAGCACCTTTCTTTAGATGATCCTAAAGCACCTTACCAAAAATAAATAAATGTAAATTAGAAAATCATATATAAAAATAAGCATTATCCTACCATTTCCCATTTTACAAAGATTAAAAAAAAAGGTGATTAAAAAATGAAAGTAAGCCAGCCACAGTGACACACACCTATAACCCCAGCTATGCAGGAGACAAGAGGATCACAAGTTCAAGGCTGGTCTGGGCAACATGATAATGAGATCCTGTGTCCAATAAAAAAGTAAAGTTGTGGGGCATGGCAGCACACACACCTATAATCCCAGCACTCTGGAGATTGAGGCAGGAGAATTGACACATGTTCAAAGCCAGCCTGGACCACACAGTGAATTCAAGACTAGCCTGAACAAAATAAGAAATAATGAAGTTGAATGTATAATGAAGTTGAATGTGTTAACTCTAATCCTATTTCATATACATATATACGTGTACATGAAGGACTATATATATATATATATATATATGTAAGAAATCCCTTATTTTTAGTTTAAAGGATGGGGAAAAAATCATAAAGTAACACACATATGTACTTACAGCCTGGGCTTGTTGTTGAAACAAATGACTCTGATTTTTTTCATCTTCTACTGCATCCCCAAGCATCTGGGAAGGAGGGAACCTAAAACTTCCAAAAGCAGCATTTGAATTGCTTGGAAAAACACTTGTCCTTTTAGGAGTTAAATGTGCTGGATCAAAAGATTGCATGGCTACAGAGCCTTCTTTTTCTGCCTACACAAAGAAAAAATGACAATGAGATTTCATCTCAACTTAATCCAATCAAATAATGCATCTAGAGGTAGGCATGGTGGTGCATGCCTATAATACCAGAACTCTGGGAGGCTGAAGAAGGAGAATACCAAATTCAAGCCCAGTCTGAAAAACAGCAAGACTATTTGTCTTAAAAGACAATATAAAAAGGGTTGGGGATACAGCTCAGTGTAAAGGGATTGGATTCACTCTCCAGTACTACAACAATAAAAATAAGAATACCTCTAAGCAGCCAAAAGATTTTCAATTAGCGGGTAGGGGATTAGCTAGCAGAAGAACTAACATTTACCAGGCACCGGGCTGGGGATTTAGCTCAGCGGCAAAGCGCCTGCCTGGCAAGCGCAAGGTCGTGAGTTCGGCTCCCGGTATCGGAGAAAAACCAAAAAAAAAAAAAAAAAAAGAAAAAAGAAAAACATACCAGGCACCTATGTGTTAATAACTTATTTAAGTTTTCTCATCTAATTCTCACACAATCTTGTGAGGCAAGTATCATATCCCTATTTTATAGATAAAGAAACTACAATTTAAAAGTTAGGTAATTAACCCAAGGTCACATAGCTACTAAATAGCAAAATCAGAATTCAAACACATGCCTAAATCCAGAATTCTGTTATTATTTTTAACTATTTGGCAAAAGCAGAAAAGTAAGTTAAAAGAGCATAAGGATAAAATATATTTTCTCTACATAAAAATCCACTGTGCTCACTGAAAATCTAATTATACAAAGCACAGAATCAAAAGAAAGTGCTTCTGTTACTGCCTAATAGCTTATTTCATAATACACATACTTTTCAGCCTGAACTCGGACTCACTTTTGAACTTAATGCTTCATAAGACTTCTGAAGCTGTTGCTTTTTTCTCAGCCTAATTTGTTGATTGACTCGGTGTTTGACTTGTCTCTGAAAATGTTTCAAAGCTTCTTCTTTTCTTCTTAATTGTTCCTTTAGTTCTTCTTCAATTATACATGCTGAAGTCTTTAAATATAAAAGATAGAAAATGAACTTAAATGTTAGTAGTTTTGCCTATTAGGAACGTAAACAGAGAAGTCAGGATATGATCTTAAAAAAATAATTCAGTTCTATGATCCAAAATTCCCAGAAAAATAAGGAAATCAAGAGAGATCAGAGTCAATGATTGAAACATGGTTAATGAGTATCAAAAACTTAAACCAAACCACAAAGTAAAAACTGGAATTCATGAATACTAAAATTGTAATTTTTTATTAAACTAAAACTAAGTAAGGTGTCTTCCTTACTTCCTGGTGAACCAATTTAAACTCACTTCTGTTATACATTTTCTAAAATGTGTAAACAGGGCAAATACAGCAGATTGTTCACCACTCAGATAATGTATATAAAATGCTCTAACACATAGAATTATGTTCCTTTTAACTCAGCATGTCCTTCCTCTCATTTCCATGTAGTAAAGATCTACTTGGCATAGTGGCATACAGCGGTAATCACAGGACTCTAGGAGGCTGAGACAGAAGGATCCCAAGTTCAAGCCCATCATAGACAACAAGACCCTGACTCAAATTTATAAAAATAAAAAATAAAAAGAGCTCAGGATGCAACTCAGCACAAAAGCTCTAGGTTCAATCTTTAGAAATACAAAATAAACAAACACTATTATTCACTCTTTAGAAGCATCAAATCTCGCACCAGTATTTTCCATAGCACTGTGTTCCTCTGAGCTCTTATGTTATGGGAACTTTCATTTTACTAATGTTACTGAGTATAGTATTTACTGACTCCCACATTAAATTAGAAACTCTTTGTTTCCCCTACACCTTATAGTTTAGAACCCTGACTTTAAAGGTACCCAATAAATACTTACGTAACTGCTCAATTCCACAACATATTCTAAACAATCTGAAACATTTTATCACATTTGAGTTCCTAACCTGCATTCAGCTCCACAGTAATCAAAATAATAGCAGTTATCACTTTTAAGGCTCTATTATGTGATAAGCTCTTATGTCACTCTAGCCTCAAAACCACTTTCTGTAAGGGATTACTTTACAGATGAGGAGACTGGGTTTCAGAAAGATAAAATAGGACTCAGTAGCAGTCCAAGGTCCTATACTTGGCTAGGAACCGAACTAGAAGTTTCTCTTACTCCAACACTTATGTTCTATTCTGTACTGCTTTTCTCTTGCATATGTCTTTCCCTCATAAGGAATTTTCAAATTACAGTAAATCATCATCATACTTTCTTCCCAACTGCTTCTCTCCCCACTCCTCTTTTGTTTTTGTTTGTTTGTTTTTCCAGTACTGGGGATTGAGTCCAGGGAGTGCCGAGCTATACCCTCAGCCTTTTTTATTTATTTATATTTTGTTTTGAGGTGGGATCTAAGTTGCACAGGCAGGCCTCCAACTGGCAATCCTCCTACCTCAGGCTCCTCAGCAGCTATGATTATAGACATGTACCAACACACCTAGCCTAATGCTTCTACTAACACAATAATTACAACTTCTAAATCTCAAGTTTATTTTATAGGCTGTAACAAAATTCTTTTTTAAAGATACTTTTTATTAATATATGTTTTCGATACATAATGAATACATTCATCATGGGTAGTTAGTATGTATCGCATCTTAATCCTTTTTGTTTCCCCTTCCACTCCCTTTTCTATCCTCCCTCCATTCCTAGATCCCATTCCCAACTGTAAAAGGTCTACCTCCTTGTTTCCTATCATCTGTCTTTTATTTTGCTCTGTCATGCAATTCTTAAAACAAAATTAATTTAAATTTTCCAAGAAATCAATCCTATAAATTATTCTGTGTGAATATGTTTCATAGGAGTGGGATGTACAACACAAATAGCAGAGAACAATTAAGCAAAATAATTCCAAAGAGATACAGGTAATAGAGCCTGAACAGTTGATCCAGATTAATTCAAGCCCTAGACAAATTTAAGTCATTCATCCTATTTCATTTAATTCCATTTTCTCCATCTGCCCTTCTTTTACTCCCACATTAAGATTATCCAACATTTTATTGAAGTCCATGACTTATTATAGATTGTGAATCTCTACAATAAACCAGAAATAAGAGTATACCAGCAATTGCAACAACAGTTTTCTTAGCAAACACCATTGTGCAAGCAACCAAAACCAAGAACACGCATTCTGTCACATGTTAAATAGCTCCTAGAATGAAATAAATTTCTGAAATAGTGAATTAAACAAAGAACACATTTTGGATAATTCACATATGGAACTGCTCCTTAAATTACATAGTAGTTATTCTCCAAAGATTATTTCTTCTACTCCTCTCAATAAATCAAGCCTGGTATCCATGCTCTTGTGTAGGAAGCTCCTGCAATGAATTTGATCTGAATCTGTGCATCTCAACTGAATGAGCCAGAAGTGTCAGCACTATCATTTCTCCAGTTTGTGCAGTAACCTTACAAATACCTTGTTCTGTATGTCATGGTCTGTATAGTAGGTGAGCAATAACTAAGTAATTAGATTATGCCAACTAAAGCTGCAGTAAATTTTGGCAAGTACATATTTGTTGTATAATCCTAATTCAAGAGTATGATCTATTTATAACAAAAAGAAACAGTAGGCACCAAAAACTGAAGGCTAATAAAAGGCGAAGGGGGTTGTCACTACATCTGAATCAAACTGACACTCACATATGCTGGGATCTCGGAGCTATTTGGTGAGGCAGGTTCCACCCATGCCCCAACTGGTACGACAGCTTGGTTCCTCTCAGCCAGCACTGCCAACACGTCCTTGCTCTTCATGGGGTTTAATGCCAGGGGCAAATCTGTCACATTGCGATGCTTCTTGAGGGGGCACCTACGTCCTGGCATCTGTGACTCCTGGTTAGGAGAAAGGAAAACCTTAAAATCTTCAAATGACTGCATTAAAAGCTCAAACTTTTAACACATTAAGCCACAAGCCTGCGAAGAGAAGCCCCAGAGGAGGCAGAAGCCTGGTGAGGAACAGAAAAACTGGGATTGTGGAGAAAAAGGAAGGGAAGCAGAAAGGCAGGAAGAGAAGTAGGAAGAAAAAGACGGAAGAAAAGGTTTTAAATGCCCCGTACAAGTTATGGAGATAAGGGAAAAGAAACCAGGATCGGACTGGGAGAACGAAGATTGTGCCCAGCGGTACCAGGCTGAGCTGGGTCGGAGACAGAGTGCAAATACCTACCGTTATCGGTACCCAGTAAGAGGAGACGCGCTGCGCCGCGGGGAGCTTCGAACCAGATGAAAGCCTGCTTCTGAGGCCCCAGGAGCGTATTCCCGCTGAGGCTATACAGGCTATGTATCGGCAGCAGCTGTCCACAGGCTCACACTTTGCGGGATACTAAGGAAACCATCTCAAATTAACCGCCACTCTCAGGTGCCACAGGCTAACCCGCCCCGCCATCTCCTTGCGCCCGCCTCTTCCGGGCTTCCTTCAACTCCAATGGGCTGGAAGGGTGAGGGGCGGGGGTTTCCGGCGCTGCTCATTCGTCACTTCCGCTTCCTGACTGGGCGGGAACTGGTGGGTTTGGGGGTTGGTAGATGATGTACTGGCGCGGGCGTTGCCCGCCAAATGCTGCAGGAGCTACAGTACAACTGAGACCGTGCTAAATCCTCCAAGAAAAGGATTTGTTGGTCCGATACTCTGACTGACTGGGTGGGCCAGTGATGTCACTTGAGGAAAGTCCGAAAAAAATGATAGAAAAAAGGGTCCACAGGTCTTCACCGAGGAACAGATTAAGCCAACAGTAAATCATACTTTTATACAGCTCGTTGCTTTTACAACGCTGTTTCGGCTGTATTCTTCTATTTCAACACTGGCATCATAAAGGGTCTCTCTGGTCTAAGCTCTGTTGTAGTCTAGAGACCCCGTATTATTCCTGTGGGGTATCCATTAACATTATTGCAAGGGGGAGCTGAGAATTTAGCTCAGCGGCACAGCGCCTGCCTGGCAAGCGCGAGGTCGTGAGTTCGATTCCCGGTACCGAAAAAAAAACAAAAAACAAAACATTATTGCAAGATTTCTATATACCAGGACTCTTCTAGGCACCAGAGATAAACAGCAGTGAACAAAACAAATAATATCCCTTGCTTGGGGAATTTACAAAATAGCCAAAGGACTAATCAAATAAACACATGAGTAAGTAAATGTGTCTGATCCTAATGAGTGTTATGGAGTAAAAACAGAAAGGATTGGGAATACATGTGAGTGGAGGGAGATGTTAGGATATCCAGAGAAAGCTTCATTAAGGTACTTTGAAGCAATGCCTTAAATGAGATAGTGTAACAAGAAACTGTTATCTTCAAGGGAGAGTTTTTATAAGGGTGTTCCAGGTAGCGAGAACAGCAAGTACAAGTGCACCAGGTTGTATTTGGGGCATTGCCTGGGTGAGAAACAGCAAGGAAGCTAGTATGGTACAAGTGGAGCAGAGTTAAAGGGGAAACGCTGAGATAGGAAGTCAAAATTTGAGTTATGGACGGTCATACAGAGTATTGAAAGCCATCACAATGTGCTCAGCTGGGGAGCTATGAGAGGGCTTTGAGCAAAGGAAATTCATAATGTGACTTAAATTTCTTTAAAAAATTCTGGATGCTGTCTTAAGAATAGACAGAAGGGGTTAGAGTATGAACAAAACCAATTAAGAAGGCTGGTGTGGTAGCACACACCTGTAATTCCAGCACTAGGGAGGCTGAAGCTGAAGGATTGATATGAGTTTGAGGCCTGCCTGGGCTACGCGGTGAGTTCAAGGCCATCCTGAATTAAATAGCAAGACCCTGTCGCAATAAACAAAATAACCAAGTAGGGGGCTACTGGAATACTCAATAGGGCATTATGATGTCTTGGATCAGAGAAATAGTGATCTAGATGGTCCTCTTCCTGTTTGCAAAATAAATAAGTTTATTTTAAGGGGACACACAGAAATGAGTGTTGGAAAAAAAACCACACAAAACAAAAATTTAAAGATAAAATAAATAAAATTTATTGAAAGGTTTATATAAAATTATTTTCTCCAATGCCTTCTCTTAAGTCTACTCCATCAGGCTTTTGCTGTCATGGGGAGTTGGAAAATATATGTACCCACCTTTATTTGTTATAATATCTCCTTCCCCTGTCCTCTCTCTACCCTCCTTCCATCTCTTGGTCCTCTTCTTATTTGCAAAATAAGTGAGTTTATTTTAAGGGGATACACAGAAATGAGTATTGGAAAGGAGAGGTATGGTCATGGGAGAGTTCTTTAAGAACACAGCTAGCCAGGCACAGTTGCATACTTCCATAATGCCAGCTACTTGGGAGGGCAAGGCAAGAAGATCACAAGTTGGAGGCCAATCTGAAGAGCTCAGGGACATTTTGTCTCAAAATAAAAAGAGCTGGAGATGTAGCTCAAAAATAGGAAGTTCCTGGGTTCTATCACCAGTACTCAGAAAAAGGAAGAAAATAGGAAAAAAGGAAGAAAGAAAGAAAGAAAAAGAAAGAAAGAAGAAAGAAAGAAAAAGAAAGAAGAAAGAAAGAAAGAATGAAAGAAAGAAAGAAAGAAAGAAAGAAAGAAAGAAAGAAAGAAAGAAAGAAAGAAAGAAAGAAAGAAAAAAGGTCACAGTGCCTTATTTTGTTGATGAGAATTATCCAGCAGTCAGGAGAAAGCCAATGATGCAAGAGAAAGACAGGAGAATTTGGGGATCTAAGTCCTTAAGTGGATGAGAGGGAATGAGATCTAGTGAACAAGTGGAGGCACTAGCTTTTGGGGGAGGCACTAGCTTTAAATAATTAACAAGGATAATGAATTATGACAGTAGGCCAGGAGTTAGAATGTGTGCTGATAATTGAGTAATGTAGTGGTTAGAGTTTAGAGCTTAGGGAAGTCTCTTCTGATTTCTTTGTTTTCTTGTAATGGCCCCTAATGTTTCCTACCTCTAAAGTTCCGTCTTTGTGTACTACCTTCCCACACTGTACCTGGGTTGGTCTGTGTGACCACTAGACTGTTAGAGCGGTGGTGTGTCATTTCAGAGGTTACATTATAAAGACACTGTGTCCTCCCCGCCACCATCGCTTCACTTGCCTTTGCTCTCACTCTCATTCTCCCTCAGGTCACTTACTCTAGAGGAAGCCATACATGACATGAGCAATCCTCTAATAAGGCCCACATGGCAATTAACTGAAACTTCCAGTCAACAGCCCTATTCATGAACTTAGAAGTAGGACATCCAGAACTAATCCAGTCTTCAGAGACTGTACTCCTGCTCAACAACTTGACTGCCACCTCATAGAAGACTGAACCAGCCAAGCGCAGTTGTACATGCCTACAATCCTAGCTACTTAGGAAGCTGAGGCAGGAGGATCACAAGTTCAATGCCAGCATGGGCAATTTAGCAGAGTTCTATCCCAAAATAAAATTTTTTAAAAGGGTGAGAAATGTAGCTCAGTAATAGAACACTTGCCTAGCATGCACCAAACTCTAGATTGAACCCCCAGTACCACAAATTAACGAACACCCTCAGCAAGGTGCCCCTCAAGAAATTGCATGAAATGTTGTCTGTGGTATCACCATGTGGTCCAGGGTATTTCTATGTGGTTCAGGCTGGCCTTGAACTCACTATGTAGTTCATTCTGGTTTCGAATTCTGTGACCCTCCTCCCTCAACCTCCCAAGTGCTAGGATTACAGGCATGTGCACCATACCTCTCTCAACCATAGTTAAAATTTGATTTTCCGTCTACTTCCTGCCTGTAACTATGCAATTAAAAATATTCAACATGTTGGCTGGTCTCACTTTAAATTCATAGCCACCAACCTTACACAGGTCTTTGGTGTCATCTGGCAATGGTGCATGTCTTTAAGTTCCACTTCCTCTTTTCTAGAAAACTGTTCGATACTTTCTACTCAAGACTTAAACTTTTTTCTTCTATTTTATTGAGTTTATTTGGCTCGCTGTTTTTATATACTATTTTATTAAGTTTATTTAGCTCACAATTTAGGAGGATGAAGATCTAAACAATTTGGTGCCAGCTCTGCCAAGAGACCCCTGGCCGCATCACACCATGGCAGGAGCATGTGTGGAATGAATTCTATGGTAAGAGAGAAAGCCAGAGAAAAGGGAGGGGTCAGGCTCCCTTTTTTATAACACATCACTCTCTTAGAAATGACCTGCATCTCTTCCAAGGGCAATGCTTCCAGTGGGCCGATCATCTCCCATTGGGCTGCACCTTTAAAAATGTCACCACCTCTTAACATTACCAGGGTCCAACACACGAACTCTTCAGAGACAGACTATACCCAAAGCTTAACAGTAGATAATGATGGTAAAGAAGACAAATGGGCGGTAAAGTGCTTGGAAAAGTTGGTAGGGTCAAGAGATTTCAGGTTCCAGGGAAAGTATCTTTGTTAGAGTAAGACAGTAGAAACAATGTGCATGTAAGATACAAGGTTGATCTGAGATTGGGATACTTGAAACCTCAGAGTACGGAAGTGTTGTGGTTATAAATCTATGGTAGGACCAATGTCAGGTGCTGAAGTAGGTGAAAGAACAAGATCACTGGAGACAAGGCCATAGAAATGGAGAATGAGAGCATTGGATGTATTAGCCGGGAAGATATTAAAATCACCCCCCCCAAAAAAGAATCATAAGAATAGTGTTGTGAACTCTGATGTTTGAGGAATTTTATGAAAAGACCTGGAGACTGGCAGATGAGAACAACTTGGAAAGCAATGAATGGTATAGTCTGGTGACATTAGATTCAAAGTTACAGGAGAGGTTAAGGAAAGCGGGAGAAATGATACAGAAACATCACTGAGCAACTGAATAGCTAAATGGAAACTCAGAGGGGTAGTGAACAGAAAACCACTCGAGAGCCAGGGGAGGTTGAATTGTATGACTACATGCACGTACACACACGCCCAGCACATAACTTGGAAAAAGTGTATTAGGTAACTTTTTCCTCTCTCCAACCTACTACCTCAAGGTCTATACCTCCCTCTACCACCTGGGCCAGTGATTTTATAATCCATACTCTCTGCAAGTCCAGAGAGTCCAGAGAATTCACATCAGAGGCTTCAGCAAGGCTATGGCCAGAATCGATTTCTCAGCAAGGAAAATATTCACTTAGAATTATCTATCTACTTCAGAATCTGAAAAGAATGAATATTGCTGACACCAGAGCAGGGAGGCGCTGCTTCTCAGCATTCCTCATCAGAGTTGGATAATCCTTTTTCTGTGGCTGGGGGATCCCTTGTCATGTCTGCACAAAGGCCCAAGTCACTGGTCCTTGGCAGCGGTCTGCCCCACACTGAACTGATTGTTTGTTGAGCACCAGGGAGCAATTTGCGTTTGGGCACTATTCTATTTGTGGCTGGCTTCTTGACACCTCAAACTCACAGTGATTTTCCTGCCTCTGCATCCCAAATGCTGGGATCACAGGCATATGCCACTT